CAGTTAATTCAATTTGTCCTCTATGAATTTCACGCTGCACACATCTTCCAGGCTGTGGAACTAGCACACTAATATTAAAGTGGTAATCAAGATTGCCTCTAAATATTCATAGCAATAAATGACTCCCTCGTGCCCCATGAATGCCAGGGCTACAGCCGGAGCATTTATTTAGTGCTGGAGAGGGATCTAGTTATTTTAGAGTTCCCTTGAACGCAATATTTTAATATTGTTGTTCTGCTTGAAAAATTAGATCCCTCTGAGCTTCCAGTATCGACAGAGGAGATGAATGACTTTGGCTCAGACCCGACCCTAGTCTTTGAAGAGGTAACCTAGGAGCCGTGTGGCGGAGACGACTTGTTCTCATTTTTTGGATGGTGATTCCCTCCTGCCCGCCCCTGTGCTGTCATTCCACTGCCCTGTCATTTTACCTTCACGATCAGGATCACATTTCCCGAAGTCATTGAAAATGTCATATGAACACAAGGACATGATGCTGTATGTCATTCCATCTACCAGGGGAAAAAAATTAATGCTCCCACACCCATGAAAAATTACATTTATGGATTCCAGATATTTTGTACCCATTACAGGTGGAATAATTTAGATTCAAATTTGGATCAGCCTCTAATTACGCAAATTAAAGAAAGGCAGAACAACATGAATAATATCAAGAAAAAAACCTCTGTATCTGATCAGCTAATCCCTTTTACATACCCGTTTATACCCCCAGGATGCCCTGCCCAAGTGCATGTGGGCGACCTCGGAGAGAACAGGGCATCTGGGTCCCGGCCACCCAGCCAGCCAGAAACTCCTCTCTGAGGAGCCATGTGGCTCCTGGGAACATATAAGTGTCTGAAATGTGTAGCCTTGTAACACTACTGTCCTAGGAGGAAGAGGGAATTCGGGGTAAATGCTCTATCGACTTTGGGATTTAGCTTCTCACCTTCATGTCCCACAGAGCAACTTAGATCTGAGTGCTGGATGGGATTGGGAGGGGGTGAGGCATAACTAAAAATAGCGAGAGCTGTTTTATGAAAAACTCGGCAATACATTTGACCTCAGCTGAGGTCCTGTATTATAAGATGATTACACACATGCTCACATGCAGGTAAGTAGAGATATCAATACATATCAATCCTTGTAGCTTAAGAGGGCATGAAATGGGAAAAAATTGTATCAATTCACTTGTCCTTTCAAACTAAAGGAAAAAAAGTTCATTCTCATGACTTTGGAGTAATCAGGAACCACTGAGCGCTGCTGTGAATTCCTCTCGGCTCTGTTGTTAAAGAGAACCTGCCTCCGTGTCCGAAGCTGTCTCCCTGAGTGGCTCTTTTCTTCTTTCCTGTTTAACATCCCGCGGGAAGTGGTCCTGTCCTCCCAGGGATGCCCATTCCACAGATTTCCCTTCCATCTGCCTGTGGCCCTTTCTGGCTACTGCCTGCTTGTTCCTTCACCTCCAGCCTGGCATTTCTCCCCCTCCGCTCCCCACCATGGCCTTCAGCCACTCTCACCTGTGCAGTCCGCAATCCTGGATCACACCCCCGACCCCACCTCCTTTGTCCAGCCTGTCACTGGGCCCTGAACACTGCTCAGACCTGTCTAGTAGGTTCAAGTACATGGGAACGTTGACAGCAGCATTATAAGAGCAAAGAGAAGCATGAGACAAAACCCCAGAGTCCGTCTGTAGGAGAATGGGTATATCCATTGTGTGTACAATAAACTACCAGGTAACAGTGAAATATGGGGAGCAGCGCATCACACACCCACCTGCATGAATCTAGCAAATGTAAGGTTAGGGAAAAGACACCAGTCCAGTCAAAAAAGACTAGAGAAAATATGAGGCCACTGTTAGAAGGTTCAAAGTAGTAAAGCTAAGCAGTGTGTTCCTCGGGAATACAGACCCTGGGGATGAGGCTACAGGAAATTAAGGTCATGATTAGGAGAAAGTTCAAGGTAATGGGTCTCTCGCTCCAGGAATGAAGAAATGTAATAATGAACTTGGAGGTGGGGGGGTGAGTGGACTCAACTGCCTCTCCTTTTACCCCCAAATTTATATGCTGAAATCTTGAGCCCCAGTACCTTGGATGTGACTGTATTTAGAGACATACCCTTTAAAGAGGTAATTAAGGTAAAAATAAGGTCATTTGATCTTGGAACTGTGAGAAAATTAATTTCCGTTGTTTAAGCACCCAGTGTGAGGTGATCTGTGGTGACCGTCCCCAGACTAACACGGGGGCTTCTACGATCCTGATAATGTCTTGCCTTTTCAGAGGGGTGGTAGGGGATTATTTTATTGTTGTTTTTCAGATTATACGTATACATTTGACACACTCTTTTGGATGTACATTCCCAATTTAAAAAGTAGAATTACCATTACTGCCAAAATATTTCTGACCTGTCTATTCCCATTTAATTGATTTCCTCAGCCAATGCAGTTAACTGTAAGCATTCAACAAAAGACCCTGTCCCATTAGGGGAATCGATACATCATTTTTAAGAAAAAGAATTCTGCGTTTCACTGGTACTACTTCATCAACTTCAATAGATAACAATGAAAAATAAAGTGGGATGAATACGTGTGTTTAAACCAAGATGTCTGAGGCAGTTAGCAGTTTTGAAGGAGCAAAGCTGTGTCTCCCCCTCCATTGATTTCCCCTGTACCATTCATATCTCAGCGAAAATATGTAAAGATTGTCTTGCTTCCCTGGAGAAAAGTATGCTCTTTGAATGATGTTGACATTACAGTGTTAAAACAGTTCTTCTGGGTACTTTACGTAGAATTAGCACAAATGTTTATATTTAAACTAGCTCCATTCTTTGGGGGAACAGGATGCCACAAACACTTAATTTTTATTCACAAATACAGGTGTCAGGATTTCTCTTTGAGATAGTTATGTTTATGTTGGTATCTTAGGCAGACAGATTTGTAGCTAAAGTAACTTATATGTACACACAAACATGGTATTTGGGTACATTTTGACAGAATACTGAGACATTTTCTATTGTTTTGTAAGCATAACTAATCTCATTTTTCAAAGATATAATTAATAAGTACACATTGCAAACCCTGGAGAGAATATTGTATACATATTTATAATTAAGTCAAGTAAGGATAAGTAAATATAGGCAAAGATCCCCCCCAGACTCAAAAGCAAGTAACTATACAGAACTTAAAAACACATTTACATTCTGTGTTAAAAAGAGATGATGTGTGTTCACTGTCACATAGGATCGAATAGTAATGTCAATTTTAAAACTTTGGCAAACACTCAGAAATCCATATAGTTCCTATACGCACCAGACCATGTCAAAATATATAAATTAAAGTAGAATGTGTGTCTGGTTGTTTGCTAGGATGAATCCACAACAAATAAGTCCTATTTAAAACTGAAAATATACGTAAGAACTTTGTGTATGTGGAAATTCACCAGTTTAACTCTCAGGCTTCTGTGGCTATTTAAAATGGTATCATCCACCAATTAAAATTGGCAAAGACTCTCCTAAATTTTTTTTTAAGAAAAAAATCCTTTTTGTTTGTACCCAGTTTTATCTCCTGGAAGTACCAATATTTTATATATTTTTTATTAAATCATAGCTGTGTACATTAATGCAATCATGGGGTACAGTGTGCTGGTTTTATATACAATTTTGGTGCATCTTACAAGGGCACATGTAAAATTTACTAGGTGTAGAATATAAATGTCTTAACACAATAACTAAGAAAATACTGTGAAGGCTATGGTACCAATGTTTTAAATAGTTTGTTACTTAGGAAGCCATTGGATGATGCAAGTTTTACACATCACTAACTCAGAGCTGCCCCAAAACACTTTCTATATAGAAATTTTCCATATCTGTGCTGCTACCAGCCACATGGGTCTACTTTGTCCTGAAATGTGCCCAGAGTGACTGATGAACTAATTTTAAAATTTTAGGTAATTTAGATTTAAATAGACATACGTAGCTGATGGCTACCATACCAGACATAGACTACAAGAAAATTTGCAAAGAGCGGCCCTAAAAACAAATTGAATAGGACTCCAGCCTTGATTGGCCCCCAGTAATTGGGCCGTAGTTTGTGCATGATTCGTCTTTTCCCCAAAACTCACGTGCCCTTCAGTTGTTGTTTTTGGATAAACTTTGCTTCAGGTTAACTAATTATTTTCAGGCTTGCTATTTGGAACCTCCGGTTCATTTTCTCTTAAAGTGCAGGAATATATAGTTGGTTGGTTCAGAGATAGCTGGTCAAAAGGTCTCTTGGACTCTGGAATCGTAACAGTGCCTTTAAAATATGGAATATTAGAACACAATATATAAGCCTTTTATTCTCATAGCTCCCATATAATCATAAGCCCCAAAGCTCACAGAACAAAGGCTGACAAAACCAACACCACAGCAGTACACGTAATTCAACGTGCTGGTAGTGCTGTCCACTTGCCCTGCCCATGCCTTGCTGACCAGTCAAAAGTAGATGCCTTTGAGCACGTGGTGCTTCCTCCACAGGATGGCCCAATCCTCAGTCCATGTTTCTCTTTCTAAGCTGCCAAGAAACCTTAATTTATGCACTGGGATGGCACAGCATTGGTCCTGTTCTTAGGGTCACCAAATCATTTGTGAATAAAAGGAGTTGGGGGCAGTGCCTATGGTTCAAAGGAATAGGGCGCCGGCCCCATATGCCAGAGGTGGCGGGTTCAAACCCAGCCCCAGCCAAAAACTATTAAAAAATTAAAAAATAAAAAGAGTTGGTGTGGTAAAGGAGGGAGTGTGTGTGAGGTCTCAAGGGTATGTAGCCAAAAGAGCTGGGGCCGTGTCCGTGCCCTGTGAGAGGCCACTGTGTGTTCAGGCTCTTGCCCTGAGCTTCAGTAGTCAGCGTCTCACACTGTTCCCAAGAAGAGCATGTGTTTTTCTCTCCCTCTGTCGAATACGCCCATAGAACATGTCCTGAGGTTGGCAAGTCAAAGCCTATTGTTTCCCAGTGACTCTTCTTGTTTATCTTTCAGAATCACCCAGAAGTGTTGAATGTTCGAATGCAACTGGAAAGCAAAGAACTGATCATCAATCTGGAGAGAAATGCGTAAGTCAAGTTCATTCTTGTTTATCGCACTATGGGAGAACATAGAGACACCTTGGGAGGGAAAGCGCCGTGCAGTTCCTGTTGGTGTCTGGGGAAATAGAGTAAATCCTTGGGTTCACCATCCAAATGTGGACTCGAGTCTGGAATTAACTTCAAAAAATTATCCTGTGGAAAAATAAAGAATCTTATCATTCTGAAAAGGAACTTTACAACTCAGAAAGTTTTTTTTAATCATAGTTGCATTTTTTTTTTTAGAGCCTGATTTTTCAAGGAGAGTATTGAGCATCCCCATCTGTTCAAGTTAACTGTGTTCCATAATTAGTAGAATTTTGACAATTCCTGGATTATATAAGAGGAAACGGCTTCAGATGGATAGAAACTGTTTTCTCCCTGAGAAATAACAAGAGTTTAACTTTCAAAGTTTATCTCTCATGGTTTGAACTATTTAGTTCATCCTTTTATTTAAAAATTTGGTCCTTTGGGGGAAAATTATCTAAGTTTTCATTATATTTTTTCTGGACCACATGGATATTATTATCATGAATTTTGTATCCCTTACCACGAGAAAGCTGGGTCTGCCTCCGAGGATAAGTAAAATTCCTTACACTCTGGTCACCCTCAAACATTCCTCAGATATAAAGGACCCTTAAAATTCTATGTCATTAGTACCAGAAAAGAGCTTATTCGTTCTTCTAAGTAGCAATTTGTATTTAAAGGTATAAATCAATTTCAAAGTTCTACTTGATTCAAAATAGCAGTTTCTGTCCTCCAGAAGTTCTGGGCCCTGTTCCTCATCCATCAGAAACTTGCTGGGTTGGACGGCCTCACCAGGCTGAGTGCTGCCAGGGATGTGAGGTCCCAAAAGCCTGACTTTGCACCTCTGTGGAAACAAGTCTGATCGTGTACTTGTATCGGTGCTTTGATTTTAGGGTACTAAGCAAATCGCACAAAAGACACTGTCAGTGGTCTATCCCAGCCTTTGATATCTAACACCACAAAATACTAAAATGTATATAAACTCCGCGGCCTGCTCCTTTGCAGTTTTTCCCTGCATGCTTCCCCTTCACCATTACGTGGATCAGAGCTTTGTGTACAGCAGACGGTGTGTTTTTACCTCTTCTTGTGACTTGATGATCTTAAAATAGCGGTTCAGGCGCAGGTGTCAAGGAATCGGATCTGAACAGAAAACTATGTATTGCTTTTGATGTGTCTCAAAGGACTTTCCTCTCAGCAAAGGAAATATCTTTGTGCTCTTTCTTTTGTTGTTAGTGTAAGTACACTGTGGAACTTTAAATATTTTTATACTGCTGTTTGTGGTTTTGAAATTCTCTCAGTGGAGGAAACCAGGTATTCCCTGAAAGATCAGAAGAACAAAAGCCTTCGGGAGGAGACGCGTTTCTGCGAGGGGATATTGGGTTTGGCAGCTGGGTTTAGGAAGTTTCCCTATCCCACCTGCTCCCCTCGTTAGACGGCTACAGGAACATGGTGCCGAGCCTGAAGGAGGCCAGGCTTGAGCTTTTGCTTTGGTGTTAGAACTATAGGTAGAGAAACAAAACTGGATTTAATACAAACCTTAAGTTGTTTTCATTATGAAAGGAATACATGCCCAGGGAAGAAAGTTGAACACCATGTGGATGAAAAAGAACAAAAAACCAAAACAATCCCCCCAAAAGTGCTCCTACTACCAACGCTGGCTAATATTTTGGTGGATTATATGATCTTTTTCTTATAAGTAAGGCTTTGCTTCTTCTATTTTCTTGGTTGATGTCCTGTTCTGACCACAGTTTTACATCCTACTTCTTCATTTAGTTTGATAACAGACGTACACTCCCAGGCAGAAATAGCTTCTTAGAGCCCACCTGGTTCTCTGAGTTTATAAAATAGCTGAATGGCCTCTCCATGGTTATCTCTGAAATGATTTACTTTCCACCGCTGAGGGTACAGTCATACAGTGACTACTGGACAGTGGCTAATTTGTATAAATAGCATTTTAAAGCATGTCTTAATTTGCTCCCCTTTCAATTCTGGGTCTTTCTTTCACTAGATAATCTCACAAGTGGAGCAGTCAGAAACATAAACTATCTCTTCTCCATTTATTTTTCTCTCCCCAACCGCTGCCAACCTACATTTGCAAAAAGTATGTAATATGTTTCTATGATATTCCGTATTGTGTTTTAATTATTTTACTTGAATCAATTATAGAGATTCCTTTCTGTTAAAAGTAACATTTTCATAATTAAGCCATGCCGCTATTATCGGGCATTATCCTAAATACTTCAGTGTAACAATTTTTTTTTTCTTAGCAGTTTTTGTAGTTTTTGCCCGGGGCTGGGTTTGAACCCGCCACCTCTGGCATATGGGGTCTGCACCCTACTCCTTTGAGCCACAGGCGCTGCCCCAGTGTAACAGTTTTTTTGAAAAAGTTTACAGGTCCATTTCAAATGGACTGTACCTTTAAGGCAGTGAATACTAAAAGAAATCTACGACTGTGTAAGTGGAGTGAAATTCTTGCGCTCTTTTAACTTATAAACTTGTCAGACATAAAAGGTAATTAATCATTCGGTATAATAGAATTTTTAATTTGTGTAGCCTTTGGCCCAATAGATCCAATTCAGAGAGTTTATCCAAATAAAGCTATTAGAACCCAAAGATAAAAATATAAGCAAAAGCCATTTAAATATTTAACAGCCGGTACTGTAATAGAGGGCCTGATGAATCAGAAAGCAAGCTGGTTGGGCCCCTGTTTAAGTGCATCCAGGCCAGGAATCACCAGTGCTCAGAACGTTTTAGCTAAAAGTACATCAGTAGGAGAGGCATTAGAGAAATTATGGCTCAGCTGTGAAACAGAATACTGCACAAACATGGAAAAGGATGGATACTTTTACTGTAGAAAGCTCATGGTATAATAAGTGTAAACAGAAAGTTAGGAAACCGTTTTCACAGTATTCAGGTTTTGTTTTTAAATTATGCACGTGACATGAATCTCTAGGTAGTAAGATTATGGAAGATTTCTACTTTCTTTATTGCCTTAATGTTTTGTGACAAGAAAATATTACTTTTAAAATTAGGTGAAAAAACCTTTTTCCTTTGAAGGAAAAAAAATTGTTGTAAAAGCTTGATAATGTTTAGTGATAAGAATGTGGAAGTATTTGTTATTCATATAAAGAAAGTGGTGAAAGGCCATTGTGAAGGCCTCCAGCAATTTTCAAAGGGCAAAAAAGGTCTAACTATTGAATATTAGGTCTTTAAATATCCAGAAATTTAATTGAAAACCTGCTTAGAAACCATAACCTAAATAAAAGTGGCCCCAGTCTCTTAAATCATAGGAGTTATAATCCACAGCTAATTCTGAAAGAGAGTCACCTAATTAACCCCACTCAAGATGCTTCCGTGGTAAACCAATTCTTCATGCCACTGGGCTGATTTTTTATTAAATAGTTTTTCAGAGGATCTATTTTATTTGCTTTCTAACATCCTTAATTTGTGCAAAGATTGGACGCTGTTCACTTCCAATCTGTATTTGTGTAGCCATAATTGAGTGTTTAAAGAAACGCCAAGCTTCCCCTGAGAAGCATTTTTCACCATGTTGCTGTCTGCTTATGGAACTGTAGAAACCAGGCTCATAACTTTCATAACTCTGCTGGGTCCCTGTGGACCCTTAGGCCATTCCTCAAACAGGTGTTCTGTGAAAGCTCATCTTTGATCAAAATGGTTTATTGGACAGGCTAGCCGGCTCAGACGTCCGTTTTCCCAGCTTAGGATAATTAAGAGAGACGGCCATAGATCACAGCCCGCGCACCTCTCCAACCCAGCGTGCATCCTGTTTTCAAGCCGTTCCCAGCACTGATGGGAGGCAGTTGCCATGGGAAGTCCATGACCAGCTGAATTGTACGTGGGGTGTCTCAGGGCTGGAAGAACTTCAGCACTGACTTTTATTTAGTCTGGAATGATTCCAGACATCTCTTAAGGAACAACTTTAATTAGCATGCACTTTAGAACAGTAGCAGAAAGAGCATCTTAAAATTGTCAAACATGGGCTTAAATATTTGGGGAGATCATCTCTCAGATTCACAGTGCGGGACAGAGGAATGTAGCTGCTGTGGAGACGGCAGGGGGGGCTGAGAGTTGGCTGAATGTCTGTCCATCTGGAGGATGTCAGTCTGTCCATTGTACACGGTGACCTGACCCAGGGCGGACAGGCGGGCTGAGGTTGTGCTGCTGGCCTTAGAGCTGTGGGTACAGCCTCGTCCTGGCCCAGGCCTCCTCGGCCTTCCTGATGAAGACGCAAAGGTGCACTGATCACATTTCCTGCAGCGCAAAGCTGGGTGGGTCACTGTGCTCGCACAGCAGAATCTGGATTATGAAGATTTCAGCAGTTTGGATCAATGGGCCAAAACTAACAAGATGAGGGTTAATGGGGATAAATGTAAAATCCTCTGCTTGGGTTAACCAAAAAATAGATGTTGCAAGTTCCGAGGAAATTTGCTAGCACTTAGCAGTGCCCATGAGTGAGACCTGCAAACTCCACACAGCTCCTGAGGCCGTGGGCTGCTAGAGAGGTGACTGCCACCGGCTGTGTGCAGGAGAGGTAGGCAGTCCTAGGCCAGCATGGGGGGCAGGGGTGACATCTTTCTGCAATGCAGCCACCCTGACCAGGACGCAGCCAGAGCCCTGCACCCTGTGCTGTTCCAAGCTCTGCCTCTGAGAGCCACCTGCCACTCTGTTCTTTTTTCCTCTGGCATTAACAAAGGATGTCCTTAAGGTCAGGAGTAGGGTCCTGACATCCGCCCCCGCCTCCCACATAGCCTGGGCTGTCGCAGGCACTCCATAAGCTTTTCTCAGTTGAGCCAATGACTGAAACTGGTCAACCCAGCCCCAGCCAGAAGTGAGTCACCGGGAGGGAGAAGGTCTGTCCTGGGTGACTGTGAGAAATAGTTCAAGAACACAGGTCTCCGGAAAGGACATGGGGTCTGGAGTTAGGAGCCCCGGCTTTGCTGAGC